AGGTGAACGACGCAGAAGTAAGAGTAAATATGATTTTCTATGTACTTGAAAATCAAATAAACATGAGAAAATGCTTTACATTTATCACGTTACTACTACCAGCGCTGTTTTAATCTACTGAAAACACGTAAATATCAATGATTAAAACGTATAGTCCAGTCTGTGATGATGGTATGATGACAGAACCCTATAGCTTTTGCTAATTAGCGGGATGTTAAATTCTATACTTAGTGTCAACGAGAGAGTGACATATAATAGATCAGATAGATAGCTATTTGTTGTGTTATCTATGGTAACCTTGGACGAAATTTCGAACAGACAAAGACATGTATTTAAAACCCATAGAATGATGAGTTTTGTCAATTGTAACTTTCTTCCATCCTGGGTTTTGCAAATATACGTTAGCGATCATCTACACATTTTTAATTGTTTTGTTGGTCGGGCGAAAACTGTGATCACGTGTACACACTAGAAATAAAAACAAACAACTTACATTTATTTATTTTGTATAATGCTGATGTTCAGTTTAACTAGTCTTCTATAACTTAGAGATGCGATTTCTCGTTCGTAATTATTTGCTTCAGGACTGAAGGAATCATTTAAAACTAATATTTACTGAACATGAGGTAGCTGTCATAAGTTCGGTAGCCTATTGCATACAACCTTAGTGTTGAAAGCGTTGTGGGTATGAGACTATAATTTATGGAGAATCTTTAAACAATCTTTAGGTGACCTTGTGTCCACCCACTCACTAGGGTTAAATGAAAGTTATAAATCAGTGTGAGGAATTAGGATTTACAGTCGAACGTTAAGGTTAGGAATCGCAGTTAGTTTTCATTACCAGCTGAAGTCAACTAGAATGCCGAAATGCTATTCAACCATATGGGTGAATGAATTTCACTCCAAAACTCAAGACCTGTTAACTTGAATGTGATTGGTTCGTCTACAGATTCTAGTCTCTCCGCGGTGTGTTGAGTTTGAGACTCATCAGAAGCACCAAACCTCATTGTAATGCAGATAAGCCTATACGATAAGTTGGAAATGGGAGAGACACAAATTAGAACACGAAACATACTTTTTATTCAGTTTATATGTTCTTATCCATAAATCATTTTACGTTGCGTCAACAACGCTGTGTTACTTTTGGAACAATCAAGTGTTTACTGACTCAATCAATCTGAATACATATTTGTCGTACTATGCACCACTGAAGTCAGAAAGCTTCTTCGTTATGGTATGGGACGCTTCAGAAGTGCGCATCAGCGATATGTCACTGGAGATCAAACCCAGTACATTCTTGTCCCACGGAGCGTCCAACCTTTATATCACCGTATATATAATTAGTGGCCCATATTTATAACTTCAGTCAGTTCGCAATATTGTGTAAATATCTTCAAATGCTATTGGTGAGTAATTGACTCCCACCCAAAATGGTTAAGCTTTACCGTTCATAGCTTCCCATTGGAACTCAGAGGACCACCTGTCAAAAATAGTCACTATTTGAAAAAAACCGCCTACGATGTGCTCAGAATTCACAGTTCTTCATTGAATAATTCAGGTGTTTACCATCAAATATGGCATGGTGTGGCGAATGTATTTCGCTAACATGACGTAAACAACCAAGTTGAATCTGAGACGACTGGTAGGTGTCCACAATTGAGGATTTCTAAACAAAGATGAAACACATGGTTTCAAATGAATGTCTCATTAGGACCGATTCGTGTTGCAAAGTATATATTCGAAAATAAGTTATGCAAGATCTGGTTGTTGAGGTTTGGCTTATTTCATATAACTTTTTTTGAAAAACACATATACTACATAGATGAACTATTTCAGTAATATTGATAGTGTTACGTTGAATAAATGAATATTGAATTTAGTTCTTGTTATTTAAACAATGAATTGAATAGTAATAATAACAATAACGTGCCTTATATATTCTGAAATATACATCAAACAAAATTGTGCACAAGACTATGTTGAATTTGATATTAATGAAAAGGAATGTCACACCATATTTCACATGAATCTTATCAAATTTCAAAATTTCTCGCGTGTCTATTCCATGGACAATTGAATAGTGAACAATATCAAAATATACGTTAACTGTCAGTTTGGAAGTTTTTCAAAAGTTTATTGGTAGAAAACGACTCATCAATACTGAATATAGGAAGCATAGAACATATTGAAAACATTTACACCATAAGGGTAACTAGTTTCTAAATTTTTTTACACAAGTTCCAATAAAAGTGGTTATTTAAAAAACAGAAACAAACTATGAAGAATAGACTACTGAGTATCAACCCGTATGTATTTAGTTGTTGAAAAATGATACCCGCTGATGAAGAGAAAAACATTTCTTAAACATGTTATAGAAAAGGTGAAATAAACGTTAAATTGGTGTCTAATAAAAATACAAATCGTTTATTAGAAATCTAGAAGTACGTTACAAACGCATTAGTCTAATAAATTAGATTTTTAAAATAATAATTTTACTAGGAACTAAAAAAAGTACTCATTCAACAAATTCAGGATTGAGTGCTCACGACCCGACAGATGCGAATCAAACACTCGTTTACCTTTTATAGCTTTAATGGTAATTGACTGAATATCAGTCTGCGGTGAAAACTAAATTCAAAAAGAACAATCTCCGCAAACAATAATGATAATGATTGTTTAATCACTAGTAATTGGCTTTGAGATGAATTTTTGAAGTACTCTTGGCAGGTAATAGCTGGTGGAATCTAAGACGACAGTTAGATAGACGTTACCGACAACACCGAATGTTCGTTGACTGGTTTTGAATATTGACTGAAGTTGGCAAGGTGGAGCATAATGGCTTCCAACCAGTGTTCTAAGGACATCACGAATGGTATGAGACTTTAGGTTCAATCTCTCGTTCCCAATAGTTAATCGATTAAAGCCATTTTTTGATGAAAGCTATACTACAATTAAACAATTTCCACAGTACATTTTACTTTAATTGTTCAAAGAAACCACAAAAATATAGTTTAAAGTTTAATACTTTTTACAAATTGAATAAGTTGATCTTGTTAGGTGTATAGGAGTTCAGATTGAATTAATGAAATATTGGACTCCAATTCCATTTACGTAGACACAAAACTTATTATTGAATATTCATTTTCATAAAATTACTTTTTAGTAAATTCAATTACGAAAGGAACTTTTAGACCATTATAATTTAACACCATAACAAAACTTCATGACGATTTAATAAACTAAGATGATAGATATAATAGAATTCCATTAAATCAAAATAACTCGTACCACTAAAACTGTTACTAGAATTTCTAAGTAGACTAACAGCTGTTCCTCGAAATGTATTATTATGGAAAAGTATAAGAAGTTGACCACTGAATATATACTCAGGTGGTTAGTTTAAAGCACAATAAATGGTTTCCTAATGAGAAATAACAAGATAGTTTTATGTGAGATTCTATAAAACAAATTTCTGGTAGGCTCAAACAATGTTTTAGAAAATAATTATGCACTTCCTGTGACACAAAAGTTAATTACCATTCAGTTGATTAGTCAATAATGTAACTCACTAATCGTGTGAAGATTTGTGTACTGAGTTTTGAGCGACGAATTTTTTTATGTAATGGCTACTGATACACGTGAACTGTTTGAAACAAAGTAATATGCACCAGGGTTCAAAACTGACAAAAGCGTTCTGATGAGTAAGCCATCGTCTGAACACCACTTAAATATAAACTACCAAACAAAAGTTTAAGCATGAAACTTAACAGTAAATTACGTAATCATCTTGATGCAATACAACAACTACTGGAAAAAGTCGCTGTTGATCATAATCTACTAAATAGGTAGGAAAATATGGGGTTCTCCAAGATTGATAAACGAGCACCATCCTGTTGGTTTTTCTCAATCCCCAAAAACCGTATACAATCGAAATTCTCTTAATTAAGCAAGTGGTTGTTTGTTCACCTTGAAAACTTAGTTTTAGATTTAATCTGAAAAGACTTAATTAGATTTGATACAACTCAGTAATCAAATACAAGTTTACGTAATTGACTTTGAGTAACATTAATTTGTAACAGTGTCTGATTGTCCAAACCGAAATGCGAGATTGAAGTGACACAACGGTTGAAAGTTGGACGTTCAAACTACTAGACCATCCACTCTCCAGAAACATGATAATGATTACCATCTCAAAAAAGCATCAAACCTAAGATGAAGCACATATTAAATACTCTCCCGAATTCATACAGGTTCTTTGACTAATTTCAATTTTCAATGACATCAAGAATGTGCATAGTTCATTGAAAATCCACTAATTCATGTCACATATTTATTTTAAACAACCATTCATATCATATTTAATTTTTTTAAACAGAATAAAGAAATTATTCAATAAATGATATTTTTTCGAGTAACAAAAAATCAACTCTCAGATATTAACAAGAAAATAAAGAAACAGAAGAGATTGGGAAACTCTTGTAACAATAAAGTATTTTTTTTTAGTAATTAGAAGTATGATTTAAGAGGCACTAATTTAAAGGCTTGAAAAGAAAAAAAAGGCACATTTAAAATTTTATTCCCAAACTGTTTTTATTATTTAACCATTTTTTGTATTCCACCAGAGATTGCCCTGATGTAGGAAATATAAATACAATACACAATCTTAGTAGTACAATACACCTTAGAAACAAAGATATGTAGCTATTCAATTTTAATGAAAAGAAATATTACAAAAGAGGAAGAAGGAAAAAATGAGCAGTGTAAGTTTATAAGAAAGCAATATCGCACACTTAATCATCCTCTTTTTCTTTATATGTTTAGTAAACTTTGAAAAATTCGAAAACAGGTAATTACAGGATAACTGAAAGACTTTTAAATGGTAGTGATTTGACCCAACCAATTAGTTGTAATGAATTCATTAGGCTGGGTTTTTTCTCATTGATTTTAGAACGTTGTGTGTATTTGTGTATATATGTGTGCACTTCATTGATTTCACCAGTTTAATTGGGACGTTGTTTAATTTTTGGTAGAATAAGTATTTGTACAAGAAAGCGGAATAAAATACTAACATTTAAATCCATACTTCCACCAGTCTCCATACGACAAGCATAATAATTCTCTTCTGGAATTGGTATCACGGTTATATCATTAACAGGTGTATCAGTGAGTTGTTTATAATTAGAATTCAAAGATTCTATTGGTGAAGGCATTGACATTGTACAACTGTTTTTATTATCCTCTACTCTGTCAGTGACCTGAACAATATATATGGAGAAGGGTAGAAAGTAAAGAAAGAAGACACTAGGAATTAGGTCATCAAAACAAGAATAAATTACCACAATGCAATACTAACCGATAATAATAATAATAATAATAATAATAATAATAATAATAATAATAATAATAATAATAATAATAATAATAATAACGATAGCAATAACAACAACAATAATAATACACATGAATCGTAAACAACCGCAGCCTGAAAGCATTAGCCAACCACACACATAAATGATGGGTGCTTTTGAGAATAAAATCTAAGAAACCAGACTTGTGAAATGGGTCAAATAAATTTGAGTAGATATATTAAAAAGTAGTCGATATGAATCTATCCGAAGAGATCAATCAGTCACGACGGAGAACCTGTACTTATGTACATCGATCCAAGTTGCCAAACCCCATTAGCACACAGAAATGATGCCAGGCTAAATCCTAGAAAATAGGAGGTAGTAACAGTATCAGTGGAAATAAGGAGGATTAGGCATCGAATATATGACTCAGAAAGAAAATATAAATTAGCTAAATGAGAACGAAAACGTTGTGAGAAATTTAGAATCTCAGGATTTAGGGGAAGACAAGGAATGGATGCACCTGCGCCATTGCAAACGATTTCGAGCAATTTCACCCCGTCTCTAACCACTGGTTACGATAATCACGTGGACCCTAGCCAGGTAGTCTGTATCTATTAACATGGCCAAGCCCAATTGTCAATGTTTCCATAGACTGACGTCATGTTTTGGTTTGGCTACCCCTAGCTTTCTTCCAGCCTACTCCTGAACCAGAAAACACCACCCGTCGCGGTAGGTGGTGGTTGGACATACGCAAAACACGTCCCAACCACCTCAGTTGATGAAGATTTACTACTCCATTATTCATTTCCCAAGTACTCTATTCAAAACCCAGACATTTCTTACTTCGTGGTCCCAGAATATATGAGCAATGCTTAGTACTAGTAACCTACCAAAACCCTCTATTACTAATGACCATGTTTCATATCCATGGAGTAGAACGGAGAGAATGGCCGCGCAGTAAACTCGCCCTTTGGTTGGAAGACGGATATCTTTTTAAGGGCTTTTGCTGTAGGTTTCATATGTCCCGTGATTCAAATCCAAACATATGCTCTAGAATGAGCTGATGGCAATGTGATTTATTTGAGTCCATCGATGAGTCGATTGTGGATGTATCCACGTCAGACTGTTTCTCCTTATGCTTAAAGTTGGTGTTTGCCAAAAATAGACGGTTTTTTAAGCACAGCTGCAACAGACCGTCGCCATTATCTGTTCGCTAAGTCGCAACACAGTAAGATCCGACGAAGTGTCTTTCGGTTTGGTTTAGTTTACTTGAGCATTAAAATAACCTTCTGTTATTACATCAGAACGTTTAGCTTTTAGAAGTAGGTTGGATGAATTCCTACAAAATTCAGTGTTAACTTCATACAAGCTGTAATCAATGGGAACGTCGGCAAAGACAACGAAAAGGCAACAGCGTGTGCTCCTATCTTTTCGAGTTCTTAATGTCCCGCTTAGTCAAACAGCGCACAAGAGACTTTCTAATGGGATACAGTTCAACAAAGCCTGTTCTGCTTTTGAACTTAATGCCATACCTACATCAACGGGACTGTAGGAAGAAGTAGTGGGGTATCCAGACACTCGAAGGGTAAATCATGCCGAAGCTTAATATCGACAGGGTGAGGTCAAACGAATGACCGTATTTGGATTCTGTATGCGCACTTCGGAGACGCTACACACACCGATATCGAAAGATTCTCGGGTCCTAGATAAAAAAAAAGCCTGTTTTCCTATCTGACACAAGGTTCAAACATTAAAAGCTGCAACATGTAGTTTAGAGTGGTTTCAATAGACCAGGAATAGCATTTCGTGAACTCGAATCATTAGCATCAGTGGTGTGCTGTGTTAAAGATATATAAGAAGGGTTAGTTGAGGGAATAGAAGAATTATTAAGTGAGGGACGGATTCGATCGTCAACAAGATGATTTTGGGTGCCGATAAAGGTATGAGGGCCGTTATCACTTTTAGGCTGTCTGTACTGTGGAAGTATTTCTTCCTAAAGAACCTGAATTACTACTGGTCTTAGCAACCTGGGAGTGTAAACACAGAGACAAAGGAACAATTGCTTGAGGCCGACAGTGCATCGCCTTTTTATGGGAAGATTTCGATGTGTCAGACCCGCATTCCAAAAGGCCTTACTCACGGAGACGGAAATCTGTGCGGTGAGGTAAGATATGATATTTTAAGGGTCGACATTTACTAACCCTTCCTTCCGTTGTGAGAAGGCAACATCGCTGTGGATAATGGCTGTCAGAGGGAAACAACTTACTGTTGTCACACGACCCTACAGTCACCAGTACGACTTCCCGTTGGGCTTTATTTAGCTTACCGTTCTCCAATCAAAAGACCGGTGTTGCTACCTTGACGTGGTGGTTAGGCCTGCCTATCGTAATGAACCAATCGAGCAATACTGGCTAAGACATTTATATTATATTATTATTATTTGAACACAGATATTGGTACAAGGAGGAACCAAATATATATGCGCCACATAAATCTCATTTGATATGTGTGAGGGCCCGAACCGAAGCAGATGGTGTTTTTAGGGGGCCCCACACCCGGAGCCTTCGACCTGGAAGTCTGATCCACAATGCAGTGGACCATCGTAAGAAGATGCAGTCCCATAGCAGCCGGTGACCAACGACTGGTTCATACACCATTTGTTCCCTCAGGATCCTGGAGCCCATGTGCACCATTGGTTTGAGATCAGCGTTTTCCAAGTCCTCTAGGTGGATCCCCCATGCCCACAAACCCGGTTACAGCGCCGGACATTAGCTTTTCGTTCTCTCAATTTCGCAAACAACAGTAATGCCACGAAAAGGCAGTGAGTAGGACTTCAATTGCAGTGGTTGTATACGCGTGGTCATGTGAGAGCATTTCGAGAGGAAGAGCTGACTCTGCCCACTCTCGGCCGTACCAGGGCATTTGGGAGCTGAGACAATCGTTCCTCAAGGTCCTACCATGTCAGAAAGGTCGGTTGAAGAGCGGCAAAACTAAAAGCAGCAAAACAAAAGTCTGGGGGCGAAGTCGTACTGCTGACTGTACAGAGGTGTGACAGCAGTAAGGTATTCCCTTCAGACAACCAGCATGACAGCGATGCTGCCTTCCCACAAGGAGGGTTGTGGTTAGAAAAGGTCGACCCTAAAAATGCACACCTCGCCTTATCCCACGGATATCCGTTTCCGGCGGTAAGGTCTCAACAAGTACGGAGCTAACACAAAAATTACCCAGAAAAAGGTCGTGTGTGACCGACCTCAAGCAGTTGTCCCTTGGGCACTGCAGTCACGCTCTCAGGTCGCTAAGACCACCTCTAATCCAATTTCCTTTTCAGGCACCTCCAGAAGAACCCTTCCACGGTGTGGGCAACAGGGAAGTGATAACCGCCCTCATACTGCCAACAGCACTTAAGAGCACTGACTGACCAATCAACCTGTTTAGCACGGTAGGACCTAAAGAAACATGTGTTCCAGCCAATAAAGATCGGTTGAGTTATTACGATAGGCGACCCCGACTACCACATCAAGGTAGCAGCTAAGGTCAATAAGAAATGAATAGTAATGATAACGGTAATAATCGTAACTTTATCCAAAATCATGCAATATGGTGTCTTCAGTAAAAGGAAGTAAGGTAAATAGAGTATTCTGAATGCTTAGATTTGGTCAGAGAAAGATTCTGGACCAAGATTTTGACTGTCTCTAACCTCCTAACATCAAAGTATAGTGCATACTATGTTCAGTAACTTAGATAATCAAGTTGCTTTGATTGTACTGAGATTTAGTATAATTACAGAGACAGTGTTAAACCGTGAACCAATCTAAAAATATAGGGTATTTTATATATGACTGGAATGACTTAAGTATTTAGAAATTCAAAATGATACAGATCATCGATTGAAATGATCAGATGTAAAAGTATGGGAAAGTAAATAGTTGAAACAAATCAACTGCTGGCTATTGAAGCTTCATAAGAAAAATGCAGATTTATGAGAAACCAGGAAGTAATGATTAGAAAAACATTTACCGTTATCTAATGTGTATGTATGTCCTTGAAGTGTGGTGTTAGTAAATTAACTAACTTTGTAGTCAGACTATATGTTAATGAAACAGTAAATAAAAGTAATTTAAATGATAAATTCAAATCATTATTCTTCATGATTACGGTGAAATGTGGTTTTGAAATATTAATTTTGCCACTGATTCTCGACAAATGTAGGCCGAATGTAGGGAAAAAGCCAACCTGATTATGAAAGGAGAAAGTTTCTATTATAACTATAGGTATTTAAGAGACTATGCATTTCTCTATTATAATTTATTGGTAAAATGGACTGATGTCTGTCATCTAAACTTTAACAAATTGGGTTGGTAATATTTTCCCATAGTTTCTAACCTGCCTGGCTTTAAGTGGCTGCTTCTTAGAGTCTGAGAGGAATAAATAGCTACTGAAATAAAAAACGCGGAAACTGGATTTGAGCTATAATTTGGATCAACCACCAAGTAATCAATTCACATAAGAACAGAAATTCACACAAATTGGTCGCTATCCGGAACTTCTTTAAATAAACTTACACTTAAGTGATACCATAAGCGTTTTGATTTTGTCCAACTGTAAGTATTATCTAAGACAAGGATGTATACACCCGAGTTTTCAACACTGAGAGTTCCTTGAACAATTTTTTCATGTGATGATACACGTTTCATTGGGATCATTTCGATATAGGTATCTGGACTTTTACTTGAATCACTTGTAACTTTTCCATCATTTGTAATACAATTTTTCATGAACACACCAACTGCAATGTCATGCGTTTCACATGAAAGCCACCATTTAATCTCATCACCTACATCGACCATTCCAATAGAAATATCTTTACGTGAAGCTGGACCAACTTCAACCATAGTCAAATCCCGACCGCAATCTGTAAAACGTTTCACTTCTTCAGATGCTTCGGACTGTTTGGGCACAGACGGCTTATCATCTGATAGCTTTTTACGAAAAAGAGAGGCAGGGACGGGGCCAGCCCATGAAATTTTTGATGGACATTGAGGATCACCATTAGGATCAGTTATTTTCCCACCGTAACAGGCTGGTAATTTACTTGAGTCAATTACTTGGAGTAAAGTAGCACGATAGTCCGATTTTAATACCTAAAAACGACAAGTTAGTGTAAAATTAATAATTGTTTCATGTATGAAATGACGAGATTAGAAAACATTGTAAGATAATGACGCCACATATTATTTGATTAGTTTATTAGAAGAAAATGTGACAAAATGTCTATTTTGGATATTAAAACTGTTAGACGAGAAGCAGTCAAAATAAACCGTAATGAACAAAAAAGTGGGAAAGCAGTGGCATATTTTTTGAGACGTGCAAATTTTAGTGGTTCAAAGTAAAAACCTAAGATTTCTCTCTTTAACTGCACTATGCCCCAAAACCCCTTGGTACGGTTGAGACAAGGAAGAGTCTACCATCCCTTCCGAAATGCTCTCATATGGTCGCGCGTATACAGCCACTGCCAGGGAATTCCTACTCACTGCCTTCTAGCGATAGGGGTGTTGCTCACGGAATTGGGAGGACGAAAAGTAAATGTCCAATGCATAAACCAGGTTGACAGGTACCGAGGATACACATACGAGAGCCAGGAAACCTCTATCCCAAACGAATGGTACGCATGGGCTCCAGGATCCTAGGGGAATAAATGGCGTGTGAACGTATTTTTGGTCACCGACTACCATGGGACCGCATTTCCTAACGTTGTTACATTGTCTTGTGGATTAGGTCTCTAGGTCAAAGGCTTGGAGAGTGGACCCAAGAAAACCACCTGCTTCGGTTTGGGCAAACGGACAGTATCCCAGCTCTAACACAAATTTTGCGTGTGCATATATATTTTAGCACCCATTTGTACTAATTTTCAGCTGTTTAAATATATGAATAATTAACTGTGCCACAGTGAGAGTAAAAATAAACAAGGAGTATATATACTCGGTTGAAAAAGTAAAGAGGGACGAAATATTTAGGATTTATATTGAGAACAGTTTTAATTGTGAACTTATATTAACTGATATTATTTTAAAATGTTGAACAGACCTTAACCCCAAGATTTTGCAGTGGCGTGTAAAGCTGGAATTGGATTTGTAGTCTCTGAAATTTCTACTTATCTCAAGGAATAGAGCAGACAAGACAGACTGACACCCTAACTGAAGCACACGAAGAATATTACATTTACATCTTGAGACGGTAAAAATCTGTTAAGACTTGAGACAACATGACTGGAAACTAACCTTATCAGAATAGATCCATTTATCGATTGCCACAATAAAAGCAATAAACATCCCATTATTCTAGTTCACCGTTATTCATAGTATATATGTGCTGTTAGCACTTGATCAACTATATTTATACTACTGATTTTCATTTACCAGAAAACTAACTGGAAATTCTATACAAAATCATCAGTAATATATCATCACAGAAATTTAGTTCATGTGATGTTATAATTTATGATGGTATACATTGTCATTCTACGATGTTGGGGTTCTGATAGCACTGATATCTTTAAAACTTCATCTTCAAAAGCTAAATGTTTTGAATTTATTTCAATCACAATCTCTAGTGCGATCCTAAACAGCCTTCTAATTTAAATCTAATTTGATTAAAAAACATCACCAGCTGAAACGAGTTAACTGCTTAAATAAGTGATTGTGGGTCTTAGAATAAATGTAGCACTTACATGAATTTTTTCTTGTGTAAGTTTACTTAACAGAGGTTTAATGAAGTTGAATATAGTTCCAAATATTGGTGGAGCATTAATCACATAACAAATGCGTAAAAACTCAGGATAATTTGCTTCCATTATTGTCATCATTTCCGAAAATACAGGGATCCAAGATGGATGCATATGTTTCAAACTTAAATGTTTCATGTCTAATATAAGTGTCAGCTGGTCAATACATCGATTATGTTCTTTTGATTTTTCATAAAAAACTCTTTGTATGATATATTCCATAAAATAAATTCTACTTTGAATAAACTCTGCGTGTGTAGTGGCTTTCATAAAACCACCTGGATCGAATCGGCCAACAGGAGCACAGAACAATGGACAGCCTTCTTTATCTTCACCACAAAATCCACCGGGAAAGTATTTCTGTATAACGTCTGGGATTTCATAGCAATCAAGTAATGTATCAACCTATAAATGACGGGAAACGATAGAAATGAACTGAATACAACTATAAATAATTAAACAAGTGCATTAAAAACAAATATAGCACACCAATTTCATAATGCTGGACAAAAGCAGAGAAGCATATCAACTCAGTATTTTAAATCACTAAAATAACTACGAACAAACCCTGATATTGTCTTTTTGAAACCTGATAAAGGATCAGGTGTGGTTAACATGAACAAATGTGAATATAAAAGTAAGATGTTATCCATACGCAGTGATGAAAGTAAATGTATGCCTGGTGTTGGATTCGGAGGTATTAGCAAACTAAAGGGAAGAGTAAATTCAAACCTAGTAAAATTACTACACAAGAATATTACTGATAAAGAGAAATTTAATTTTCTAAAACCTGTGTTCTGAGTATTTATATGAACTATCTGAAATTCACAAATCAAACATTCCTTTACGCCCAATTTTATCAATATGCCAATCACCTACATATAACCTAGCCAAATGGCTAACGAAATTGCTGGATCCTATCCCAAAACGTTTATGTAAGTATTCTCTGAAGGATTCTTTTGAATTGGTCGATCATCTAGATGATATCCATATCAATGGAAGGACAATGTGTTCATTTGACTTGAATCCCTTGTTCACAAATGTACCTATTAAAGAGACTATTAATATATTATGTGACTACATATCTTTAAATTACCTGTCCCTTTAAAAATTCTTAAAGATTTACTACTATTATGTACTGAAAAATTCCAGTTCACTTTGAAGATAAATACTTTCGCTAGATCAATGGGGTTGCTATGGGTAGTCCGTTAGGACCATTACTAGATGTGTTTGTGGCAAATGTTGAAAATTTGGCTGAAGACCTAATCGAAAGCATGTCACTTTATGAGAGGCATGTGGACGATATCTTAGTTGTCTGTGAAAGAAAGGAGGATATGAACTGTTTATTGAATAAACTTAACACTTCAAAACTAAATTAGTCTCTCATGCGAAGAGGAGAGGAACGACCAGCTTCCCTTCCTAGATATACTTCTAAGTAGATGAAAAGATGGCTTAATCAAACGATTCACTTTTAGAAAACAAACGTGGACAGGCCAATACCTCAGTTATTATAGTTATTGCCCTGTGCAATACAAATAGGGTTTGATTAGGTGCTTATTTAACAAGCTTGGTCGTATTTGCACAAATGACGCTCCTGATGATGTTAGATTGCCAAACAAAACATTAATGGAAAATATCTATCCCCTTAAATTCATAAATAGATGGAGAGTTCATGCTACAGTGAGACGTACTATGGCACTGGCAGAAAAGAAGCCTGTCCACATCACCTTACCATTCAGAGGTGATTCAAATAGTCATTTATAGAAACAAAGGCTTAAATCAGTCACTAACAAGACGTATTAGGCAGCGAAGGTCACTATCAAGGAAAGAACAAGGTTCATGCTTGATAGGAAACCTAGAAGACACAAAAACGATTGCGTCACATATCACTGTGTCTACCAATTTACATGTGTGTGGTCACACAAAAATAGGGAGTAATAATCGTGATCACAAAATTAGGGTGTGTGAACATGTACATAAATGTTAATAAATAGTATATTTGTAATAACCAAATTGAATTTGGTTATTTATTCTCTGAAGAAGTGACTTACACTAAGCCACGAAACGTCAGAAAATCTCATTTTTCTACTCATTGGGATATTACAAATATACTATTTATTTATAACAATCTACCCAATGCTCAATTTACTCGAAATTATCAAATCAGACCTTGGTAATGATACCTATATGTACATAAATGGTTGCAGAAGCAAATAGAATCACATGACACGATAAGAGTCAGTCAGTCAGCTACAACGTAGAACCAGACACATGTGCATCGGTTCAAGTTACCATACCTCATTAGCACAACAAGATGAACACCGAATTCATAGAAGTATTTAATTCAGTGGTGGTAATATATAAAAGAAAGATTGCATATAAGGATAGAGTATAGGAAGAAAGATTTAGTACGTAGAAAGAAAGATATGAAACAATTTTAATCTCATAGTTTGAAGGAAGACAAATAGTGTATACACCTGAGCCATTGTGATCGATTCTGAACCATGTAACCCAGAGTCTCCAACCATTGGTTACGATAGATAGTAAAGGATAAACATCCATCACCCTCTGTTGCCAAACACAATTAGAACAGGTCATAAGGCTGATCTTAACTTTGCTTTTGTGTTGTACAAAAATGTAAGAGGCCGTATACTAAGGCTTAACGAAGCCTTAGCCATACGAAAATTCAAGCTCCCTTTGTGTATTCGAAAACAGTTTGTTCTCACCTACTCTGACAATATTTGCTTATTATCCAGAGTGACGAGGTCTCATTTTTTTCATATTATTTCTTTATTATGTTTGTTTCCTCTTACCCTCCATTTCTAGTCTAGTTGACCTTCCATTTTTGTAAAAAAATGTTCTTAATAAGTACATATGTGATCAGGCTGTTCGAAGTGTATTGAGCTAATATATCACATAGTTCTGGTAATCTTTGTCTTCTTGTTATACTATCGAAATTTATCAAGGGGACGAATTGCTTGAAGTACCTTTGATTCTATTCTTCTTCGTCGTAAATGAACTTGAAGTGAGAAATCGACGTTTGTATAGCAATGGAGCGAGTTCCGATTTCGAATCACCTTAAGTCACATTAAAAACTACATCTATATGTTTTATGTATGTATTAGCAACAACTTTTGGCCAGATATTACAGATTAACAAGAGGGAAACATTATTTGTATAATGTGCTGACTTCCACTACTTTTATTCTCACCGACAGTAAGAAGTAACTGATAACGGTAGTTAGCTTACATCACATCCTCTCTGAACACTTGGTCGCATTGATTTCCAGCTGCTTTTTTGCTGTGATGTATAGTACTTACAGAAAACAATGGTACACCGCGAGATTTTCTACTGAACATTTTGTATTCAAGTACGATATTGTCTGCAAAAATAGCTTTATTTTTTCCGAGGTAATATCTCACATTCTTTGACTATCTAAACAACCAAAGATGCATGATTGAATACCAGTGGCTTGGAAAACTAATTATAGCAAAGTGATGATGCTAATTAATAGCCTAGTACAGATTCCTTTACTCTCAGTGAAAGTGATACTACTCAGTTGCTCGAACCTAGATGAACGAGGAGAAATTTGAACACCCAACTCAGCAGTTGGAGGTTATACGCTTAAATCACTAAATCACAGCTGAACACTGCTGTTTTTTATGATACTCACAGTGGAGCTTCGAATGAAGCGCAATTAGAAATAAAATAAACAGAATCGACTTCTATTGACCGGTAGATGACATCTATAATTTGATAAATATGTGCTTAGATTGACATTTTGGGCTATTGTTTGCCAATGTAAATGCCTGAATAGTAACCTACCATAATAAAAGTAATAGTAATAACGGAACACAGCAACTTATTAAATATCCATCTAGTAGTCACACTTTGTAGCAAATAGAAAAATCAACTGGCTGTCCAAATATTCGTAAGCGAAATGAATTTAAATTTGCGAGTTACAGATTAGTAGTTAGATTTCATATCCACTGACACGAAGTTACATAATAAACTACGAGAAGTGATTGACCAAACAACATATCACAAAGTATAAAGCGGAACAAAGAAGTAATGGGCAGTCAACAGTTACAGACAAAAGAGTTTGACTATAAGTTAATAAAAGCATGAAAGTTTAGAGTGGAACAAAAACTGAACGAACTCGTACCATCGTAATTAACTTTAAGTGTTTCAGTCTTGCATCTAGCAGCTCGCAAATTGAAATAAAAAATCTTACGTACATGATTCACAACAGCTATTTGTAAATCCATGAGTCAAATCGATACGAAAACGTCCCAAATGGTTATTCTTACTGATGACCTACCGTCACATTTACCTCGAAAACTTCCAGTTAGACAGTTTGATGTGAAACTACAGTCCTTAGTAATGAGGTTAACTAAATCTACACTAAGTTTAGGGACTTTCACAGACACCGTAGCTAAAATCACGTTTCACTGATATGTAGTGCTTTGCCACTAATCTTTATTTACTTTTTTTCAAAAAACACAAGACAGGGTAACCGAGTTTGTTAATTGCTCCACTTGTACGATTACCTCCAGAAGCTTAATTTAGTTAACACGGTGTAGTAAATTAGTCAGTCAGTTAAAGCGCAGGACCAGGAACAAGATGAATACTAAATTCACATTAGTCACTTCAATGACAGTAATATATAAAAGAAGGATTGTGTATACAATACAGGAAGGGAGGTACTTTAATTTGTCGGTTCAAGGGAAGATAAAGAGTGTATACGCTGGCGCCATCATGGTCGATTCTGAGCCATGTCACCCAGAGTCTCCAACCAATGGTTACGATAGTCACGCGGACTCCATGTTGTCTGCACATACCAACATGGCTCAAACTAGAAGTTAGTGACTAACAACTAGTGCCAAGTTTTAGTTTGGCCGCTCCTAACTTTCTTCCAGCCGTCTCCAACACTAATCAGCAATGCATGTCATTTCAACAAGATACTAGAAGTCACAACTTATTGAATGTAAACACACCAACAAAGTTACTCAGGAAGCTAATATGATTTTCAATATAGCTAGCATAAATATAAGAAACCGAATGCGGTTGCAGGCAACTGATCACTGCAATCAAGCAATGGTCGTTAGCGAGCGAAAATGAAATGTTAAAACGTGACATATTAGAGAAAGCTTATTAAAAAAACTAGGGTATAATAGTGAATTTCTTGAAAAACATGAGTTTGATTTTATCAGTGAAGCATAAGATTTGCCACCTTTGGGTATATGTGCATTGTATTTACCTATACTGGAGATATGAATTTATAACAATAACGGGTGGAAGTGAAGTATGAGAACAAACTTGAACCACATTTTGATCGAAAGGGCGTTGCGGAGTGCATTAGGATAAAAGTTATAATTCGTAAGGTTTTAACGTAAATAGCAAACGCCTATGAAAGAAATAAGTTTCTTTACTAACAAAGAACATCAGCAAGGGTGAATAATGAGCCAATATCTGACTGACTTGTTTAAACGTCTCTCTAAAACTCATCCTGACTATGGGGAAAATTACTAGTTTCTCGTTGACCTTGAAGAATAGCCCACTATTTACCCAAAGTCGGGGGATTAGGTAATATCGCAAAGTCGAAAAATTAGTAGAAAATGAAACCAGTAGTAAAGACAGCCACAAACGGAGGTGGGGAACTTATTTATGTTAAACATGAGCATTACCTTCTGAACATCTCTCCATTTTATATGAGAATACAGCATTTTTTCTGCTTCATCAACATCCCAACTGCGAGCGCGCAGCCAACGGACAAGATAACGTTTCGATCGGCATATATCAAGTGGACAACTGAGCATTCTTTCATAAAACTGATGAAGTACTGACAACTCATCTCTAGTCAAACTTTCTTCCAAACCCAAGTCGTACTCCACCGACCACATGAGAACATAAAACCAGCCGTTTGAATTCCCGCCTCGAAAAGAGGTTGTCCCTGAGAGGTCAATTCACTGCTTTGTCTAATTTAGAGAAATATTTTGAACTAAGTTTTCGAATACAACTTAAATAGGTATGAAATTCTGATGAACGAGACATTAAGAATCAATATGGTTACCACTTAACAACATTCTTCCTGAAGGCAATTTAGGGCATGCATCCAATTGTTTGTAAATAAAATGTAAACTTTTCCTATTGATTTCCCTAGATTGTAACAGTAAATCAGTAGTGTTGCGAAGTGAGTTCAAGTGAGTTTTGAATAAAGCCGTTATATTTTTACGCTATTCACAGAGTTTTATAATTATTCCATGGACGTATTGGATGAAGCTCCTTGTGTTCTCCTAGCTAAATATACTTTTCATAGATTAACTAGGAATACAATTCTGTCACAATGAGAGTTTGTGTTAAAGTCTTAAGGAACTTAAACACCTATCGTTTTCCTGCTCGTGACACCTGAAATCAAGAATTGCATGCGAGGTACATAGTGCTACAAATGAACTACTTTAAATTTTCAGATTTGAACATTTCTCTACTATTTTATGTGATATTCATACCTTACTGAAGGTTTAATCCTCCTAATCGAAAATTTTTCTATGTGAAACGGTTTGTGGTAAGTCGAGAACGTAAACGTTCTTCCCTAAAGCATTTTGTGAAAACTGTATACAGCAAAAAAATCGCCAACGCTCCTCTTTCGATTTGACCATACCGTTTCTCTGTTGATATTAGTGATAGAGATGCATGTATTGCTGTTTTTCATTCCATTATGGAATTTGTGTGAAATTACCGCTCACACACCATATGTAGATGCATCTGCTGTAAGTATTAATGAAATCGTAGGATCGTAATGGGAGCTCCCCAAGCTGAGAATGAAATTGGTGATAGAACACTTTGTCTTTCTAGACGTTGGAGTTTAAGCCTAGTGGCATTTCGCTACTATACTTCTCACCGCTCCTACGCATAACACCGTTGACAGAGAAACAACTTTGTTGGGTGTTTGTTTGGATTATTTATGCCATTTCTGAAGACTATGGAGTTGATAGCGCTCTCCTATTGAATTGAGAGTGTAATAAGTGAAGATCCTTGTTAATAGATCATCCTAAATGTTTCCACATTGTATCAGAACAGTCAGTCTGTAAAATTATGGCCAAATACATTATTTGGACATTTATCTTCGGTACCACAATGATTGACTAAATCTCAAAACTGTAGACTCGTCACCATGTGAGTGTTTAATTTATGAGATCCTATGTGAGAGTCAAGTTATTATCTACACTAGCTCATCCTACGTGACAGTCAGCAATATAACGTCCGACGTTTTCGAAGATCACATTTTGGTTAGATAGATATACTTTATTCAACACAAAAACGATAGGTTATGCAGCATGACCACGCCTATATGACCGAGCCATGCGAGTTCGATTCCTTGTTGCCAAGTTCATCACTGTTGAATAGATCTTGTAGGTAATTGGACGCTCATCTTCATAGGTCATGTTTTTAGGAACCAATACCACTACAAGTCCTCAGTTTTCTGGTCCGGTGACTTGTCAGTACTGATCTTTGTTATCCAAATTAATGAAAATGATTTGTGTGATGGTCTAATTTTAGGATCTATCTTTTTACCCGGCACATTTTTTCCTCGAAATCCTAACAACTAATTGACATTTTTGGTGGTAGACAGAATCTCCTTATTAAATCATAACACCATCTGAATTTTAAAAGTTCATGGACATTCACGTGAGGTTGACGAGTTATTGTGATAACCGTAAGTTGCTGAAAAATTTTCAGTTCATTTTCAGTGTGATTCAGCCACTGAAGATTCGGCACCGAACAGTAGCATTCAACTTTTCATGATCAACTGTCGTCAGCATGTAGTTGTTAAGTTGTCGAACGCGGTGGAGAAATGCAGTCACTTCATCGTGTATTTATAATACATCCTCTACTACTCAATAGACAGGTTGTTTGCTAGAGAGACTTTGTGTATTCTTAGCGTAAGCTGCATGGTCAAGATAGCCTGGCCACTTAGTTAGGGAGAGGCCACTTCTTTAACTCATTGGACTGCGTTACATTTAGATAAGCGTGTGTCAGTATAGAACGTTACATGGTTGGTAAGAGTCAGGTGAACTGAAAAACTACGTATTAAAGCGGAAGCAGACGAAATTATGAGGCTAAATGTTCGCCTACAACGTCTCATTGAAGTTAGAATTTAAACGTATTTATTAACTTATTTTATCTGAATATTATGTCCTTCAGTCTCCTGTATTGTTTAATGTAGTGTCTGTTTGTTTAATTAAATTCAGGGGGGTTCAGCCTGCTTTCCATGCAGTGCAATAAACGTCGGTACATAGTGATTGAGGACTTTTTATTGTGGTGGATCTCAGCAAAAGAGCTTATTTAAGATACGAAAATAGGCGAAGTTACCGATGATATACCAAAAGAATTAGCACTATAAACCAAATTGTCTGTTTATTAGTAAAGCAATGGGTAACAAATTACAGTTACGATATAAATGCTATAAAAATTAGGAAAATGCTAACATTTGTTATGAAGTGAATGTTACCTGTAAGCTGCACTCTGAAATAACAGTCACAAATGGGTTCACTGAGTCAACAAGGTTCCTCTAGACGAGGTGGCACCAACGACATAATGAGAAAGATTAAATCCAACAATATTATTTCATAATAATCCGGGCCCAATTTCCAACGTATTATGAGAAGGCCTGAAATGATGTCATAACACTATTATAATCTTCAACCAACGGCCGTGGTCAATAAAGCAGAACAGATGCCGGAGGTAACGTTTATTTTGAAACAGTCACGGCAGTGTGTATATTATAGCCAAACAATTATGTCCGTTTCTTTACCATCAATACAGAGCGACAATAGATAATGTATATAAATGCAGTTGTATATGATGTGTGACAAATGGCGAAAAATGAGGGCTTAATTTTGTCGTTACAAAAATCATCGAATATACATGTCACAACAGTATGACTTAACAGAATAAAGGAGATGTTAAGATAAAAGTCGAACAGCTTTGCAGTGAAAAAACAGCTGATAATATTAACATATTTTCGCTGGAGCACGCATACGCCATATTTGCAGGCGTGATTTACAGTTTATAAGATTGGTTCGCATATTAAGCCCTACCCAAACAGAGTTACTAAATAGATAAAATCAGCAAAAACAAAAGGCAGCATATTCGTGCAAATTTTCCAGAGAAAGAATAAGTAATATTAAACCCCACGATTCATCCACTTATTAATGACTGAATGATTTTTCGAATCGCTATTTTAACTAGCTGTAACCAAGTAAGTGGACCGCAATCATTTTCCAGCCCTAGTATAACAGCTTCTCCAAATTTTAAAATCGCAAAAAGAATTAAAGTCCACTAGGCTTTGATTATTCTAAATTGATCTCGCATTTGCGAACTTATGATAAATCTTCACATTTGACAATAAAAAAGGAAGACAGCACACTTGAAACGATTTTCAACGACGTTTTCGGGCTGCCGGGCATCAGCAGACTACTTATTTATGCAAACACGATGAACCTATGCAAACTAACACTCCCTTCAAGTATAAATTGCCCGCCGTGAACACCGCCGTTCAAGGTCGTGGAGGCAAACTTGACGCAGACCATTTTCGAGGCTGTTTGGTTAGTGTCTCAGTAACTCCATTTCATATGCTGCGCAGTGATGTTTATGTATTTATATCAGCCTAAAAATTTTTTAAGTGCACTCTAGAGCTCTTTGCTTCTAAGGAGTGTTATTTCGTACTCTAATTGAAATCCAACGGTTATATAAAGCCGGTAACTATGGTCAGAGTCGACTATCGATTTTGTCTCAAACGTTAGTTTTACAATCGGATATCTCTTAGTAAACATTTGCTGAAAATCTATAGCTTGAGCTTTGATAAACATCAAGACTGATCACCGTTTTATTCGACTAGTTAGTCGAGTTCCGAAGTATTTTCTATCCTCAGGATATCTTGGAGAAAAACCTCAATGTTATGTGATTCTGGGGAAATATTGGAGAAAACCCAAAATTTCTCAAACATCTTGGGGTTTCCCCCCAGGCCTGGGGAAATCTTGGGGTCTTTGTGCCATTTTACCAAAGTTTTCTATTGCGATGTCCCCTAAATTTATCCAAAACGGACGAAATTTTCCCAGAAATTGGGAGTTTGAGTCGTTAGAACTTTTCTTCGCAAGTAATTACACTTTTGATGCTGTTTCAATCTCTGCATATTTTTATAATGCCCGTTATACTCCTAGAGATAATGTCAGTTGTGTCACTTTTTCGTTAACGAAAAGTAGTAATTACTACTCAGATGGATGTGCAGTCTTTGTATGTTTGGAAGTCTTGGCAAAGTTCCGATCGAAGATTTAGGAAAGTTAGGATTAAAACCTGAAAATCTCCCATGGTCTGATGTAAACAAGTTTTAAGGAAAACCTGAAATGCTCTCCGAACTTTGGAGATTGGGTATATTACAACATGGGTTGTAGCTTGGTTTAAAAAGTAACTGCCGCCCACCACATAACCCATTTTCAAATACCAACTAGTTATTTTCACTTGTGAATTGTTTTTTTCTAGCCTCAAGATAAGGATATGAAGCTGACTCTGACTAAGGCAAACGGTTATCAGCCTCTGAGTCCCAGGTTCGAGGCATATTCCATCTCAGTTTCAGTGAATGGTTGTATCCCTAGCCCTCAAATTTCGTGTAACTCGTAGTCAAGTATTGGGGTTTGTGTCTGGTGGATCGGTCAGTTAAACTCAGAGACTGTCACTTGGTTATCAATAATGCTTCAAGCTTATTACTTCCTAATATACAGCCAGTTGTGGATAACATAAAATTTCCTAGAATTATGCGTCAACTCGAGCTAACATGATTGCAAACAAAATAAAAAATGTTTATATCGATTGTAATGAAGAGTCAATATAAGAGATAAACTTAGTGAAAAATATAAAACCTAGGGTCTTGAAATACAGATTCTTGTTATTGTACAGAACAAACAAAAAGTCCTCAACTCGCAACATGGCTCCAATTAACAGTATGAACTGCATATCAGGGTAAGCATCAACTAAGAGTATGTATCATAATTCCTGATCACTTATCTTTTCGGTAAACGGTCTGACCACGCGGTTTATCATTGTGTTATTCTAAACTAAAAATTGGCATTAAATATTTCTGAGATTCCAGCATACCTAAGCTATTCTTTGAAGTTGTTTACGACTAAACAACGTAAGAACGATTTTTCTCTCACGGACCATGTTTCGTAGCCATAAATGAATACAGGGCGAACTGTTGAACAGTACACCCACTTTTTGGTATGTAGATGTATATCCAGTCCTTTCGCTTAGCAGCGCTAGTTGAGCGAGACCAATTGACCTTTTGGTATGTTGATTTAACAAGACCAGTGAAACTAATGGACAGTAAAGTGGTGGACATGTTGATGAGGCTATACTGTATAGGCGATCTTCGAGGCCAAAGTGATCTTCAGGAAATTCGCTTACTTACTAGGGTCAGAAAGGGTTATAAATTAGTGTGAGAAGTTTGAACTTGAATCTAGAGTACGAATTTATGACTACACATTAGGGTTAGGGTTTTCATCACTAACTGACAGCTGTAGTACTAAATTGCAATTTAACTATATGGATGGATGAATTTCGCACCAAAATACAAGACTCTATCTAAAATTTGATTGGTTCGTCCACAAATTATGACTTCTGGTCTGAGCCATGTTGGTAGATTCAGGCTACTTGGTTGGGGTACGCGCGACGATCACAATCAATGGTTGGAGACTCCGGGTGACATGGCTCAGAATCGATCACAATGGTGCCGGTGTATACAATCTTTGTCTTCCCTTGAACTGTGAGATTACTTTATACCCTCCTTTTTACGAACTAATTATATCTCTCTATCATATCCTTGTATGCAATCCTTTTTCATGTATTACTGCCATTCAAGTAACTGCCTCTATGAATTCGGTGTTCGTATTGTTCTACTAATGAAGTGTGGCAACTTGGACCGACACATATATGTGCCTGATCCTATGTTGTAGCTGATTGACTGACTGAAATTATGACCGCTCCATTATGCTCCGCTATTTTAGTCACTATGGTCGGATTAATGCATTGATGAGCGAAAGCAAGATCTCAAAATTTCGTGCTGTCATTTATTATTCAAAGACTGATTTTACTAAATGTCCCCACTAAACTGTCGTATACTATCCAAGTAGTTAAATTTAAGTAGTTGATTCATGGTACATCAGCCTCTAAAATGTCAAACGAAGAGTTCATCACAATTTGAGGTATACATGTACCAAAATTAAATAATATGGCCAACCTAGTTAAACAATAAACCTAGTCGGTTCAGACAATAGTTTGACGAAAGCCGAGGATCAACCTGTAGTGTCTTAGTACAAAGTCAGTCAGCTACAACGTAGGACCAGGCACATATATGCATCGGTCCAGGTTGCCATACCTCATTAGCACAGCAAGATGAACACCGGATTCATAGCAGTGGTTAGGTCAAAGGTGGTAATATATAAGAGAAAGATTGCATATAAGGATACAGTACAGGAAGAAAGAAGTAGTTAGTAGAAAGAAAGATATGAAGTGATTTTAATCTCTTAGTTTAAAGGAAGACAGGGAGTGTATACACCTACGCCATTGTGATCGATTCTGAGTCATGTCACCAAGAGTCTCCAACCATTGATTGTGATAGTCGCGCGTACCCCAACCAAGTGGCCTGCATCTACCAACATGGCTCAGACTAGAGGTTAGTGTCTTCAAGCACTGATGCCACGTTTTGGTTTGGGTCTTAGTACAAAGCTTCCATAGGGTGCACTTTGGTATTCTTTTCGATATGTTTTAGTACCATAAAGCCTATCGATTGACGGACCAACAATTGGCAATTAACATCTTCCTATAGAATCAGCTTGCTCGATCGTTTATATATAGTTTCAAACTATTCTAAAAATTCACAACTAAGGAAATACTTTCCAGGAGTATTGGTTTCATGACCTCATGTTCATATCATGTCACTGCGGGTACAGTTAAGCCAATTTGACTGGTTTGTAAAGCCTTTAACATACGAACGGTCGTCCAATATTGGTGAGATTTATTTATTTATTTGAACACATATATATTGGCACAGGAGTGCGCCAAATATATATGCACCACACAAAACAATGAGAATTTAAGAAGAAAAAAAAGTGGGGAACGTACAAAAAACAATAACGAAGAGATTAGTGTAAGGTAGTGTAGTAATAATAGTAATAGTAGGGGAACAGAAGGGTACAACCAGAAGAAATCTTTCAGTTAAGGAAGATACAACCACGTTTTATGGAGAAAGTAAAAGAAGGTTACAGCATGATCGCCACTGGCTTCTATTCTGAGCCATATCTGATAACGTCTCTAGCCAGTGTTGTACCATCTCTCGGACCCCAACCAGGGAGTCGTAAAGGACCGACAAAAGCCAGCCCTTTGCAGCTTTCTTTCATACCACGACATCATGTCATGCACTGACCACCTCTCCGCTTCTTCCATCCAGTCCCAGAGTCGGCAAATAATGCACGACGTGGAATTCTCTGGGACGACATCCGTAGAACATGTCCAAGCCACCGAAGTCGATTTTTCAAGATGGTGACACCAATTGCATTATCGTCTCTGTGCCTGAACACACGATGCCGAACCTCTGCATTACTAACATGGTGTCGCCACTGGATGTCAGCAATCCTTCGGAGACAACGATGATCGAACACAGAGAGTCGTCTAACGTCCTCAACTCGGAGAGACCAGGTTTCACAAGCATAGAGCAAAACTGCTCTCACTGACGCGTTGTAGATCCGACCTTTTAGGGCCGGACTAACATCACGAAGGCGCCAAAGGTGGCCCAGATTGGCATAAGCCGCTCTGATTTTCACGATCGTGCATTGATCTCATCACTCACGCCAGCACCAGCACTTATGCAGCTACCCAGATACACGGACTTCTCGACTATTTCTATCCGCTCACCATCCAGGGTGAGTACAGGATTAGGATCCTGCCAGTCTTGTAGAAGTACTTTGCATTTCGAAAGTGCAAAGCACATACCATACCTACGGACACTGATTGCCAACTGATTAAGTTCGGATTGCATGGCTTGGGCATTGTCGCACAGTAAGACAATATCATCCGCATACTCAAGGTCGAGAAGTCTTCCTCCAGGTAGCAGATCCACACCGCCATACTTACATCCATCAGAGCTGTTTCCAGAATGTCATCGATGGCAAAGTTGAAGAGGAATGGTGAGATTGGGCAACCCTGCCTAACCCGACTGCTCGAATGGAACAATGGAGAAAGGTGGTTGTATGTCCTCACTCTGCCTGAGGTGTTTGTATATAGGGCTTTTAGGATGTTAATAAACTTCTCAAGCACACCCTTCAATAGACAATCCCAGAGAACAGTCCTATCCAACGAATCGAAAGCAGCCCTGATGTCAAGAAACACTACAATTGTTGGCCTTTGAAAAGTATGACGGCATTCTAACATTTGGCGGAGGGTGAATATATGATCAATACATCCTCGACCAGAACGAAACCCAGCCTGCTCCTCGCGAGTAAATCTTTCTCGGGTTTTGAACAATCTACGAAGTATGACGGAAGCCAATAGCTTGGACGCAATCGGAAGTAGACTTATCCCCCGATAGTTGTTACAGGAACGACGTGAACCCCTTTTAAAGATAGGAACAACTATCGACTCATTCCATGACGTTGGTACACTCTCTAGTTCCCAAACCTTTGTAAACAACGTCGTCAATTCCTTAGTCAGAAAGTCACCACCATCTTTAAAAGGAACCGGAGGTAAGTCATCTGGGCCAGGTGATTTGTAACGCTTCAAGAGTTGGAGTTCCTTGCAGACTTCCGCCTCATTTGGTGGATCAGTCGTCACCGGCCATGGAGGGGGGCAGGACAGTCTGACCGATATTGCCAGAGCAGCAGGCCAGTTGAACTGCCCTTTGAAAAATTCTGTCCATCGTCCAAGACGTCGATGGATGTTAGTGATTGGCATCCCATCATCCTCGCAGATTGTTTCGCTCACACCAGAGTCCTTGGTGAGAACCTGTAAACCTAACAGACTACTTGTCTAGATTGTAAAGCAAGTAGTAATTTGATAGATTGTATTAGTATTGTTGCCAAATTGAGATGCTGTTGTTTACTATTATTTTTACATCTTAGCCTTATGCACTGCACAGTCTTGTTGACTTGGAATGGTTGACAGCAGTATTTTTGATGAAATACCTGAAGAAATAAGCGCTCAGTTAGTTTCTTTTTCAGAAGCTACTGATGATGTTGAACAGCTTGTAAAAAAAATTAGCAACTTTTCGAATGATTCCAATACTGAGGTAATGCTATTGAAATTTATTAACAAGAAAGTGTCTTAGGTTAGTGATTTGGATACCATCAAAACTGATCTGTCTTTATGCTACGCCTTTAATGCTTTGTTTTTCAGTAAGTCGATAGGAATTCCTTTTTAATAATTCTCTTTAGTGTATCTGAGGTGTAATGGTGTAGAAACTCAAAGCCATCCTATTATGCAGGAATTGGTAAGATCGTTATTGTAGTATTTATTATACTTATTTTTTCATGATAATGGACAGTATTCTTACGGTGTTTTTCACCATTAAAAACTTTCAGTTTGTCATTTTAAATAAGAAGCCTGTACATAGGTTATAATTTGAATGCTGTACCGATTAATAAGTGTTGAATCCTTCGTCCTAAATTAGATCAAACAACGAACAACACAATTTCTACTGATTGTTTACAAACGTTCTGTTTCTATAGAAGCCATTCACTGTTATGTTGTAATAGCAAAATTGGTTTTCGGGTTGCTCTTGAACTTAGAACACTGACCTAATACGACTTCACTACCCATAGAAATCTATCAAAATATTCCTTATATTTACTATTTTAGTATTTTATTTTGTGTGATATATGTTCGAAAACAGAATACAGGTTAATTTAACCAGCCGCAATATTAATTCACCGCCTAATGTAACTTCTCTGTTAAGTACAGGTTTACGTGATCGGCTTTAAACTAAATTTTGTGAATGGATTATCCGTACTATAAGACTTCCCGAACCGAAGTAGGTGTAGTGGAGTTCAAACCCTCTACCTGACTGTTGGAGCTGATTGCTTTACCTGCTAAACCACCTATTCTTATGTCATATTTTTAAACAAACTGTATGTTTTATTATGATCATTTAGCCTCCTTTTTATCAATAAATAATATAACCTATGACTTCCTATTTCGGTCAACGTAAGTATGAAATTAAGCTTGAGCTTTTAGATTTCGTTGAAATTATTATTGTTTAAACACATATTCGTATGAGGCACCAAACAGATATGTACCGGGTGCCCAAATCCGAAGCAGGTGGTTTTATAGGGATCCACCAACCCGGTTAAAGCGCCGGACATCCGCTTTTCGTCCCTCAATTTCACAATCAACAGCCCCGCCACGAGAAGGCAGTGAGTAGGACTGATCGATGTTTGACTACCATTGGAAAAATGGAAGCACTGGATGGCCATTTCGTCCTATTGTGGAACACCTCAACAGTGCTCACCCATGATCCCGTCCGTAGGATATTCATGTTATGGCAGGAAACCTCTCATCCTCTATTGGTGCTCAAGTAACCAAATTTACCGCTAGTTCTATAGCAACATGTCTGAGTGTAGAAGTCAGTAGCTTTTAGTGTGTGTTTGCTTGATTGTTATAACTTCCCAGGACTAAAAAGCGCCTACGTACATAACCTAGTGTTATTTATCATTTATATATTCTGTAAATTAACGTGTCAGCTTTGAAATACATTTGATCCATCAAATTGATCTACTTTTCTTTAAGCAAAAATAAATTTCACCATGCAATAATAGAAACGTGTCTTATCCTTAATATCTCGCCCGTCATATTATAGACATTTTTGCAACAAATTTTACATGCAACAAAAAAACACTTATTGACAAGCCTCAACAAGTTATTACTTGCATACGATTAACTATCCACCACATTTAGGAAAATAAAATTATACCCTGTTAACTAAGCTCAAACTTATGTACAGGGTTATAATCTATATCTCTTATCTTTAAGTTTTGAAAGTCTACTAAACTGTTCGAAATAAAATTGGATGAAATAATCCAGTTGGTCACAATTCACATGCTTCATAGGTACCCGTAGTCAAGTACTGATTACTTACAAATGTCATGTTTCATAGTTATAACGTAAGACAGAGCGAACTACTGTGCGGTACACTCGTCCCTTGGTTGAGAGTAGGAGTTATTGTCTATACTACAAGCGATGGAATTCGACAAAAACCAAAGGAGTTTTCTAAATCTGTAGTGAGTGCTTGGGGGACTTTCAAGATAAGGAGAGTGGTCAAAGCTCTAAATAACTATGGATCTGTGATTCATTATTTGTAAACTGACGACATTCTGAATCACTAGTCTACAAATATCTATCAACAAGTAAACTAAAAACATTACTTACCTGGCATTACAGTTTTAGGGGCTCACGATTTTAGAAAAAATAAGTTGCACTCATTTAACGCGTTATTTGTTTGTAATTGTGTGTTGTTTATGTGTTTGTTTTTATTTTTTGCAAAGGATCGTGTAATGAATGCGTTGAAAAGGTGTAGATCGTTAGTCGAAAGAGAAGGCTCTGCACGTTTGAAATTGGACAAAGAAGCTACAACAAGATTTGTAAAACATGCCTTATGGAAATCTGCTCATACTAAAACTAAGAAACGTCGCATGGATTCATCTAGTTAGTATTGGTGATGATAATAATTCGTAATTGAGAAGACCCTTATTTTGTTTCGTTTTGTATGTATAAAAACGAATTAGCAATCAAATGTAAACTTATACTTTTCCAGATGTTTTTTCTCATTTGAATAAATTCATTGTACAAATGGTGTGATCAGTACCTGCAATATATCAATTATGTCACCTTTTGTGCATGGGTTAGGAGTATAGCCTGACTGTGCAGGCCCTGACAGGTTTACTCCGGAGATTTTTAAGGATAATGGTTCAGTATTAGCAGTGAGATTAACTGAGGTCTTGGGTAGAATTTGGGAACTGGACGTAATCCCATCTGATTGGTCTCAATCACTGATTGCGCCAGTCTATAAGAAAGTACAAAAGTCCGCTTGTGACAATCACAGTGGAATCAGTTTGAAAAATATAGTGTCTAAAATATTAGCTTCAATAATACTTCGACGCCTAACCAAAGCTCGTGAAGAACAGACTAGAGAAAATCAGGCTAGTTTTCGACCTGGACGTGGTTGTATAGATCAGATATTCACACTACGTCAGGTTCTAGAACACAGACACACATTCAGACGCCCCACAATGGTAGTATTTCTCGACCTTAAGGCGGCATTCGACTCTGTTGATCGTGAGGTTCTATGGCAGTGTTTGTCACTGAAAGGAGTACCAAAGAAGTACATTAACCTTATAAAGGCTCTCTACGCGAACACAACTGGTAGAGTAAGAGCTTATGGCGAACTGTCATCAGAATTGTTTACCTCAAGTGGTGTTCGTCAGGGCTGTCCACTCTCTCCATTCTTGTTCAACTTTGTCATTGACGTACTTTTAGAGATAACACTTTCCTCATCTAAATTGCCAGTAGTCGAACTTCTACCTGGAGATTCACTTGTTGATTTAGAATATGCTGATGACATAGTTTTATTTGGCGAAGACGCTGACAAAATGCAGATTCTTCCGACCACTCTAAGCAACAATGCAAGTATGTTCGGGATGCGATTCTCCCCTAAGAAATGCAAAATGTTGCTTCAAGATTGGGTTGCATTGACACCCGAACTAATGATAGGGAGTGAAGTAGTTGAGCGTGTCGATCGCTTCACTTATCTTGGAAGTCTCATCAGCCCTTGTGGTCTGGTGTGTGACGAAATCTCAGCACGGATACGGAAGGCTCGACTAGCTTTTGCCAACTTGCGTCACTTATGGTGTAGGCGAGATATCCGTCTATCAACCAAAGGATGTGTTTACTGCGCAGCAATTCGTTCCGTCCTACTTCATGGCAGTGAAACATGGCCGGTAAGAGTAGAGGATATCCGTAGGTTACTAGTATTTGATCATAGGTGTCTTCGAAATATTGCTCGTATATTCTGGGACCATCGAGTAAGTAATGCAGTTGTTAGGAAACGGTTACTAGGTAAGGATGGAAAATCAGTTGATGAAGTAGTGAAACTTCATCAGTTGAGATGGCTGGGACACGTGTTACGTATGCCCAACCGCCGACTGCCTCGACGTGCGATGTTCAGTGGTATAGGAGTAGGTTAGAAGAAAGCTAGGGGTGGCCAGATCAAAACATGGCACAAGTCCATGAAGTCACTGACAAGTGGACTGAGTCATGTTGGTAGGTGTAGACTACCTGGTTGGGGACCGCGAGATGATAGCAACCGATGGTTAGAGACCCTGAATGACATGGCTCAAAATCGTTTGCAATGGCGCTGGTGCATCCACTCTTTGTGTTCTTCCAAATTTTAATGTCTTGATTCCTCCTTCTCTCTTTTTTCTCTTCCCAAATTTATTTCACTGGATTATACTCTTTAAATAACATCTCCGAACTCTAATCTTTCCGATTACTGCTTATACTTTTACTACCTCTAATACTATGGGATTTGAATCGACAAGTGCATCTCTGTGCTAATGTGGTGTGGCAACGCGAACTGATGTACGTACGTGCGAAGTTCTACGTTGTTACTGACTGACTGACTGATAGCCTGATTGTAGGTAAGTGTTGATTTTGGTCCTATAACCTAATAATTTAAGGTTAAGTTTTTGAATTGATAAAATACAACTCATTTTAGTTGAATTTTTATGTGAGCAGATCATATTAATTCATAACTTTCTTTACAACTTTCAGGATTAAACTAGACTAAGCCTATCGTATCCATTTTAAATATTTAACTCATATCTTCTTAACCATGTAACTACTAGAGTTTCTAAACAGGAAGCAATATTTATGAGCTGGCTAGGCAGAGAGCATGTACGAGCAGTACACATAGGACTCTAAATGGCGAGTGTTTTATCGTATATCTTTAGCTAGTTTTATTAGTACCTTAAGAATTATGAACTACTGTTGGACATTAAATGAATTAATTATTATTAGTTCTGACGATTTATTTACTTGATTTGGGGATGTATATGTGCTGAAATGATGTATACATTTATTCAACACGATGAAATGTAAGTACAAATTACGGTTAACTAGAAATGCTGGAAAAGGTACAGTGCATACTCTAAGAACGAAATGAGGATAATGAACGTAACGAGTAAGGAGTAAAAAACATATTTAGATTCTGGTTTGCGCACCCTTCTTGTGATATGGCTAGAAACAACGGTTTTTGGGGTCTAACAACAGTAGTCTTACGTGACGCAAGTTAAATACTTGTGATTAATGAAGTATTTGAAGAAAGAAGAGAGATAGAGTATTTTTAGCGACCAAAGTATTTATTTATGAATGAATTAAAACATATAATTAATTGGGTGATAGATTGCGTGATATATAATCGGAGAATAAGCAAAACATTTTCGTCAATAAGTCATATTTTACTTAAATTGAGAGCTGAATACTAAGATTATGTAGAAATACAAAAGCAAAAGGAAATCTAGGAAAAGTAGAGGGTAAAATTTATTGTTTGGCCTCTTTTGTGTGGGATATATCGGAGGCTAAGTAGGCAGAGGAATAGTACAAACATTCTGCAGTCAAATGATTGGTTTGTGGATGAATTCCGATACATTAGGAAGCATGAAAATGCCGAACACATGAAGCCATTTAGTTTATTATGAATAAAGTGAAAATCTCCATTCAAGTACACCTGATTTCATATATCAATTAAGTCTGAATGATTGGAGCTCACAATCATCCTTAACTATCATTTTCTCAACCATGCCGCATGGTGTCCAAAGATACAATAACAGGCTTGACTAACTGTTTTCCTTATGTAACTGATCCTACAGCTAATTTCTTCTACGTTAAATTTCTTTCTCACAAATAACATTGTTTTTGAACTGTAGTTTTGAGATGAGTTACTTTGGGACAGTCGCTGTCGTCATGTGTCTGTGGATAAGTTTGATTGGATATCGGTTTCCACGATATAGATTTTTGAAAATTTAATTTGAAGAGATCTCAAAGATATTTCGTCGAGAATTATAAGGTTTTCATAACTAATTATTAAGTTATCATACTTCTCAAATATATGGGAAATATAAAACAATTTCATATTAATATGGATCCTCAAACAATTGCTAGTGATTATATTACTTAGTAATAGCGAGTAGTGTAATTTATGCTCTTAAGTTTTGACCATATTTTAATCTTTGAATATAAACGCCATCTCGTAGCTCTATTAGTTTTCCCACTAAGTGCGATTTATTGATTACTGGAAGGTCTTTTAGATGATACCCTGACTGATCAATCAGAAAAGTGAGCTGACAAAGTGTTTTGGTAATTGGTGGAGAACGGCTTTATTAATAAATGGGAAACATTCACTAATACATAAGACAAAATAGAGTGGTAGCGAGATCTCTTGAACGTTTCATTCTCAAAAACTTTGAGACCAGTATTAATTAGTTTCTTTATGCATATCAGTAATCCAAAGGATAGGCTCTCGCATCCGGGCAATTCGATATATTTATCAGTGTACTTGCTCTTTTGGAGCTATACCAATGGTAGGAATCGCGTTTAGTGCGAATAGCTCAAAAAGGTATGATTCAAAATGGTATCAGTAAATTCATAGAAAGTGCAATAAGGGAGTAACTCACAAATACCGACCATTTGGCACTGCTTATTATCTTATCAAACTCTACAAAATTCCATCTCTATAGTGTAAGTCACAAACTGATCCTGGCTAGACCACCATTAAAAACCTGAAAGCACTTGACGGGCGTTTTGTCTTATTATGAAACTTTCCAGAAGTGTGCACCCACGACTCCGCATTGCACATTCGAAGTTAGACATTGACACTATTGGATGCCAGCTCAGTAGTCAAGAGACCAAGCGTTTACATGTGATACTGGAAGTTCTGGGCTTGACTCCTCAGTGCAAGGTCGTGACTGGGTATCCATGACCAGTCCCGTACTAGGAGGAAGCGGCCATCTAGTGCTTTTAGGTGTCCAATGATGGTCTAGTCAAGATTAGTTCATGATTTAAACTGAAAACTATACAATATTCACAAATTCCGTTTTTTAGTTTCGTAATAAAAACAATATTTTCCACACTTTAGTTAATTTTTTTGTCCCCATAATCGATAAAGTATCGTCACTATTAACAAACGTTATAGGTTATCATGCTGAGTTGTGTATATATTTACGATTGCACAGATTAAAGAATAAAACAAATGAAGGGTCTCTTCGAAGAACCAATTTGTTTCTTAATTAAAAATTGTCATAAAATGTTCAGGAGTTGTATTTCCCAAATCTCTAAGAATTACAATGGGTATCAGTAAAACAATAGTTGATCATTTTTAAGGTTTTTCTTATTTAGAATAAAATTCTTTTTATATTTCACTGAAAACAACCTGCAGGTTAATAGTACTGCAATATTGAAACCCAGATAATTGGGGTTTTTTTATTACTACATCACAAATCAATGGTAGACTTTCAAATCCTAGGAAATTATCACATTTTTCCCTGTTTTGTAAATCCTTTACCTTCTATTGTTTTGGTCCAAATTTCTACATATGTATTAAATGTGAATTTGTTTATAGTTGATATCTTGATTTTCAAGAAAATATCAAATAATA